ATTGGTTATGACTTTGTTGATGAGGATGATTGGGGGAGTGAGATGGAGGTGATTTAAACATCGGCGCGTGGATATCATGAATATGTGCCGATGATTGCGGTGAATGTTGAAAGTTGGAAATAATAGGTTTGGTATTGAATTTTAATGCCGGTGAAGATGCGGCTGACGACTCTCTGGAACCATTATCTGACCTTGAACTCAACTGGCGATATACTGAAGTTGGTACATTGCCTCCGAAGAGCATATTAATTTTTTTCGCTGAGTCGGTAGAAGGTAATTCGGAAAGTCCTAAATGCCGATTTGAAATATCAAGTTTTGATTGATGCTGGCTAGTTTTTACCCCCGGAGTTGACTTCTGCGCACTGATAATAGAAGGATCGTTAAAAGGCAATCCCGTGTGCGATATTGCAGATTGGTGCGCTGAGGACTGATTGGATAACGATATTGGCATATTAGATTGCGGTGGCCTTGGCAACTCTGTAGACTAAATTAACGGTTTAGAAGCAATTAAGATAAATTAAAACCAAAATTTATTGGCCAAACGGAATCTATAAGTAGGACTCACTTTTTGCAAAGCTGCGTATATTTTGTACATAGCAGCTTCATCTTCGTAATTACGCTCTTTAGATTCCGGTTTAATAGATGGTTTTGCTCCAATTGTCTGCAAAACTTCGTCTTCAGTGAGCATTCTTGAAAGCATTCGCTTTCCATCAGTCATACGAGGAGAAGTAGCTGCAACTGTAGAAGACGTTGCTGCTTGACTTTGAAACAATGTATCAAGACTAATTGGACCAGGTTTTAATTCATTTGGAGCCGGATGACCTTGCGTTGGTATAGGAAACACTGGGTGTCTTTCATTTTTGTGTTCCACTTCTTGTGAGCTTTCATCTACATTATGAGAAAAAAACCTGGCAAAGCGAGATGTTCCTTGTTCTCGGGGAATTATCTCAGCATTTTTTACGACACCAGTTTTAGGAATATTATCTTCGGCCATGGCAAGTTTATTATGTTTTGACAGAAACTTATCAAAAGCCGACGAGCCAGAATCCAGAGGTGCATTGAGATCGACTCCAGGGCCAAAAAGTTGGTCCACATTGGCCAAGTACAATGTTGACTCTATGTAACAAACGACATTTCCATTTAGATTTTTTTGTTTTAATTCCATTGCACACATTAAAGACTTAACATAAAGTTAATAAATATATCTATATTACATAGATTGTAAACTAATAATTTTGAAAAATATTAAAAGTACAGTTAATTTACCATTGAAATCGGAGGTTTCTTTCTCTTTTGAACCATTTTGCGACACTTCAGGTATAGGGTTTCCAACAAATGTACTAGATTCTTCTGAAGTCCCGATCTTATTATCAGGCCTCCAAGACGTACTGCTATCAGCACGTGATATACTCCGTGCTCTGCCTTTCTCGGCAGTTTCTTTGCGCTCTTTGTCCTTTTCTGATCTTGACCTTTCTTTATCTTTACGTTCTCGGTCTTGTTCCTTCATCTGAGACTTCCACGCTTGAAAATCAAAATGTTTTTTATCTTCATACCCGCCATTCTCACCATTTTTTGTATCTTCATCAGTTTGCGGATTGTAATGCA